CTGGCACAACTTGAGTCCATCACCTCTCATTCTATCACTGTTACCTGGAAGCAAAGCCAACTCCCACCTTGCCACAACCTCCTTTCAGAGCATTGTAGAGGGTGGAAAGGTCCCTTCTGAGCCTTCTCTTCTCCAGACTGAACCCTCCCATTCCCTCAGCTGCTCCCCACACGATTTGTGCTCCAGAACCTTCACAGCTTTGCTGCCTGTCTTTGGCATCAATGTCTTTCTTGTAGTAGAGACCAATTCTCAAGGAAAGCCATTTTCCCTCTGGGAAGCCCCTCGAAGACCTAAAATTGAAGCCTATTGAAGCAACCCAGAGCTGTTTTGTCCCCAGGGGGGGCCCTGGCCCACGCCTTCTTCCCCCGACGTGGAGAAGCCCACTTCGACAGTGCCGAGCGCTGGTCCCTGCACAGCGGCAAAGGTCGCAACCTCTTTGTGGTGGTGGCACACGAGGTGGGGCACACGCTGGGGCTGGAGCACTCGCCCACCAAGAGTGCCCTCATGTCACCCTACTACAAGAAGCTCGGCAAGGACTTTGTTCTCAACTGGGATGACATCTTGGCCATCCAGAACCTGTATGGTGAGCATCGATTGGGTGCTACTTGAGATGGTCTTTGGGGTGGAGGGTGAGAAACAGAGGTGGGGGTATGTCTGTGCCACTGTTCTGAGGGCAATAGGAACCAGGCTGGGATGCATCAAATGTTTGATGCCCTCTGATGGCTTGCCAGCCTTGTGCTCCTGCTTCCGTGCCCTACTCCGTGACTCTCACCTTGCTCTGTCTCAGGAAAGCCCTCGAGGGGTTTGGCCATCCAGCTGCCAGGAAGCGTCTTCACTCACTTCCAGGACTGGAGTGGGGACCTGTATGGTGAGGAACATCAACGGCGGAGCCTCAGCACCTACTACTGCCACTCCTTCTTCGATGCCATAACTGCTGGTGTGTGGCCATAAGCCCTCTCCCCAAACACTCCCAACCTATCCAGCAGCCTCTCCTCACTTGATAACATTCCCAGAATGATGGGAAGAGTGGGCTGGGCTGGGCTGGGCTGGGCTGGGCTGGGCTGGGCTGGGATGGGATGGGCTGGGCTGGGCTGGGATGGGATGTCCTCAGCCCCATATGGACATCCCACAGGAGTTGGAGGGGTAAGAGGTGATGATCAGTGGGACAGTGCTGGGTTTGGGATGTGGCATCAAGCTTCTCACCCTCATCATCTCTTCTGCCCTGCAGACACAGAACACAACCTGTATATCTTCAAGGGCAGCCACTTCTGGGTAGTGTCAGCCAGTGGCAACACCAGCCAGCCTCAGCCCTTGCACGTGCGCTGGCCAGGGCTGCCTGCTGGTATTGATGCCTGTGCCTACTCCCCATTCAGCCACAAGTTCTACTTCTTCAAAGGTCAGTGAGATGCAGGTTGTGTTGATTGGTCTGTCCAGGTCTGCCACCTGCATCCCAGCCCGATGCTGTGCCAAGGGGCTGGGACGTCACTGAGTCCCATGAATCATAGAATCAAAATCATTAAGGTTGGAAAGATCAGTAAGATCATCCAGTCCAACCATCGACCCATGGCTGTGACCACTTTAGATCATGTCCCTTCGTGTGACATCTACCCATGGGTGCAGGCTCCAGGATGCTGTGGTCACAAATTAGCTTTGCATCAACCCCCGCTGCCCCATGCCTCAGTTTCCCTATTAGCCCAGTCCAGAGAGCAGCATTCCCTGGATTTGAAAATTAAAGCAGACTCATTTTTAGGAGAAAATATTCTTCAAAAATGTGCAGCTGCAAGGAGATGGGCTGAGCACTGCGTTCTCATGGTTTGTGCCCTGTCTCTGGTGCCTTGCTGCCATCTGTAACTGCCTGTGGCACAGCTGTCAGGGCAGAGGAAGGTCAGCCCAGGCAGCCAGGACACTGAGGTCAGCCTGAACTTGTCATGGAAACCACTCACAAGCTCGCCAGAAAGGGACTTTGTTGTTGCAGCTGGGGGAGAGCCAGAAGCCCCTCTGCAGGGCCAGACCCAGGAGCAGAAAGGAGCTTTTGTCTATCTGCATGTCTCTGCAGGGATGGCCCCAGCTGCAGCGGGCATATCTGGGGCTGCTGTGAATTTCTGTAGTAGTCTGGGTTGTCTCAGCACAGGAGGAATGTGAGTGATATCTGTCCTGCTGTACAAAACCTTTCGTCCCCATCCCTCCTTGCAGAAGCGTGGCTTAGGTACCAAGAGAGCCCAGTTTGCCTCTGTGCTCTGGAGCTGCTTCTTCCCTTCCCAACCTGTGGGAAAGCCCAATAGGGACATGCCCAGGGCCAGGTCATCTCTGGGATGGGTGGAATCCATAGGCTGTGAAGACCAAGCGGTAATACACAATACAGGAGATGGCCTCAAGTTGCACCAAGGGAGGTTTAAGTTCAGTGTAAGGAAAAATTTATTCACAGAGAGGGTTGTGCAGCACTGGAACAGACTGTCCAGGAATGTGTTTGAGTCCCCATTCCTGCAGGTGATTAAGGAATGCGTAGATGGGGATGTGGTTTAGTGGTAGACTTGTCATTGCCAGGTTAGCACTTGGCCTTGATGACCTTAGGGGTCCTTTCCAACCTCAGTGCATCTCTGATCCGGGCTTATATGGTCACTGAGTCTCTCTCTTCTCCATCCCAGGTGGCCGATGCTGGAACTACCGTGGCTCCACCTTGATGTCTGGCTTCCCCCAGAAGTGCAGCGCCCACGGCCTGCCCCGCCACCCCGACACGGCCCTCTACTTCCAGCAGCTCCGGCGCCTGGTGCTCTTCAAAGGAGCCAAATACTTCGTGCTGAGCGAGGAGACCCTCACCCTGGAGCCCTACTACCCCCGCAGCCTGCGAGACTGGGACGGTGTACCTCCTGGCACAGCAGGGGCCGTGGTGCACCGCGATGGCTTCCTCTACTTCTTTCGGGATGACCGCTATTGGCGGTTCAACCAAGCCAAGCTGCAGGTGGTGGCCAATGGCAAGTGGGCTGCCGAGCTGCCGTGGATGGGCTGCTGGGATGCCAATGGTGGGCACATCCTCTTCTGAGCCAACACTAAGCATGGCTGGGACAAAATGTTGGCTGAGCCCATCCCACTGACTGATCCAAGGGGTCCGCTGGTCCCCAGGCCCAACACCATGGACAACAGTGATGAGGCTGGGATGGAGGGTCCCGTATCGCCAGGCTGGCTGTGATTCAGCCATAAGAACACCTATAAGCCATGGAGACTGCAAATGTAACATTTCTGTTAACTTTCAGGATTTTTTTTTCAAGCCAGGACTGTTTTTTGTTAATCCTTTCTTGTTTGTCCATGATCAGGCAGGGAACTGCCTTACTCATGGGTGCTCTGGTGCTTCAGTGGTTTTAAATGAGCAACTGAGACTGTTTTTTGGTTAAAACAAGAAGAGATTTTTGGACATAACCATAGGTTGATGTCTCTATAAACATGGGTTTACTGTCCTTCAGGTGGCATCTGGGGCCTTGCTGCCCCATACCTGGGGCCGATGGAATGCAGACCCCAGGACAAGCCCAGCTCTGGGTGCACTCTGAACAAAATGGTGTGGTTTTGAGGAGGAGGTAGAGATCTTTGGTGAAGGAACAGGGGAAAGGAGGAGTTGTAAGGCAGTACAGAGGGGCTGGAGGGCAGCAGGGGATGGGCAGGGTGGATTCTCTACTGTCTAATAAGGGTTATGCTCCCTTCGTGAGCATGGCAAGTGTTTCCCTTCTCTGTCTCTCTGCAATAGTATTGAGTTCTGTACACCCTTCAGTCCTGTTCTGATTTGAGATCTTGGAGCCTTTGGGTTTGTTTTCTATGATATTTGTGAATGAACCCTTCCTGTGCAGACATGGGGCAAGCACTCAGCTCAAAATCTCAGGGGATTTTTTTGATGTTGCCAAAGAGATAAGGCTGCAGTGTTTCATTTTGAATAAGACAGCAATAACACAACATCACTTGCAGCTTTCCAGGGGCCTGGAGACCTGAAGGTGAATAAAATGAACCTCCGGATTCACAGTGCTGGCATTCCCCTCTGTTTTCATGTCAGGCTGTTGTACTTTTTTAAAAAAATCCCATCCCGTGATTTCCAAAAGTTCTGTACTGAAAATGGGGATGGAGTGGGCATTGCTTGGTTTGTCCATGCAGGAGGGTTGGGGCTGCTTTGTGCACTGATCTCCTCCAAAAGAAAGCAAGATGTGTGCTCCCCTTGTTTGCTTTCCTTCGTGCCACGACACGCTGAGGCATCCCACACATGCTGCCCACTGGCCGGGTGCTGTTCTGTCTGTGGGGATGGTGGTGGTGTTGCAATGTTTGCAGAGCTGTACGTCACTCTGTCTGCAGCTCCTGCACCCCATAAGGTGTGGGGTGAAGGGTTGGACATGCACCTCGAGCTGTGTCACCATCCCCTCAGTGTCACAAGGCTCCTTTTCTCCTCTTGGGCTTCTTGTAGGACACGCCAGGCGCCTGCCACACATTCCACAGCCCAGGGAAATAGCTGGGATTCTTGCATTTCCTCCCCCAAAATGACACCAGGCTCGTGCAGAGGAACATCAGCAGGGAGAGGACGGTGCCCCCGGCAGCAAGGACCCCCCAGGCTCACCAGAGCCTCTTCCAACCCCACGCTGCAAGCACCTTGCTGGCAGATTTCCTTTTGCAAACCCTCATTTTGTTGAAACCTATGAAGGGCAGCAGATTCCCGTGGTGCCCACTCACTGCCATGCCCATGGTTGTTTCCCTACAGCCCCAACGCTTGGAGCTGTGCCACTCATGGAGGAGCTCAGCTTCTTGCTCACGGAGCACAGAGCAAGAAACCCCAAAGGAACACATGCAAATGAACCCCTCCTCATGATTATTTTTTTTTTTTTACAGAACAAGGCTTGGAGTGATTTGCAGGTGGGCCTTCAGGTCACCACCTGCAGCACAGGTGGGTGTGAGGGTGGTGAGAAGGGGGGCAACTCCCCTCTGCTTTTGGGGTTCTGAGTGGGTTGGGGTGCTGAGGGGCTGCCCTGTATCCCTAGGGACCGTGGGGAACAAATCCACCCGACGGGGCACAGAGGAGGAGCAGTGCTCCTGGAGGAGGAGCGGGTGCTGAAGGGTTAACAGGGAGTGTTTGCAGCCGGTCCCTTATCACCAAGGAGAAGAGAACAGCTCTTGGGAAGGAAACAAAACACCCACTGCCCAGGAGGGCAATTTCTGCTGCCCTACAGCCCTGGACCCCAGCAGCGCTCCAGCACCCCGCTGTCACCCTCCTAGTGGCACAGAGCATGCGGTGAGTGGGGTGGGGAGGTGGGCTGGGGCATCTTCTCACATCCCCACCTGTTTCCCCTTGCTTCCTCCCAGTTTGGGGTCTTATGGCACAATGGGGACGCCGGGAGCTGCGGTGCGGAGCATCCGTCCCTATGGGTCCAGCCAGCAGTACCTGTATGCCATGAAGGAGGACTTGGCTGAGTGGCTGAAGGAGCTCTATGGGCTGGATATTGAGGTGGACACCTTCCTGGAGGTGCTGGAGACGGGGGCTGTGCTCTGCTCCCACGCCAACCACATCACCCGTGTGGCTGAGGACTTCGCCCACACCTGTCCCAGTGCAGCCCAGCACCTCCACCTGCCCACCGTTGGTGTCAGCTGCAATCCAGGAGCACAGCCAGGGACCTTCCAGGCCAGGGACAACATCTCCAACTTCATCCATTGGTGCAGGAAGGAGATGGATATCAACGGTAAGACGCAACGCTCCAGCAGCACCATGATGTGGTGTGCATCCTGGCATCACTCTCGGTGATTTCCTGTGTCCCCAAAGCTGGTGCCACCCCAGCACTGGGACCTCAAGCTGGGCTTGAACAAGCTTCTCTGGGCTCAACAGTTGGGGTTGGGACTAAGAAGGGCATGTGCCATGCACGGCCATCATGGCCATAAGGACACCAGAAGTCATCCTGGCTCTGAGCAGAGGGTCTGTCCCCCTGTCCCCACTGACAGCAGTGCCACAGGCATGGAGAAAAGTGCCCACAGCTCACTTAGCCAGTGGGGTGGGGCTCTGGGACACCATAAAACATCATGGTAAGCATGGACACATCTTTGTATGTAGATGCTCAAGGGGGAGGTTTTTCCTCTATGAACTTAACCCAACACTTTTTTGGGCCCTGCTCTATTCCTACAATCTATGGGATGGCACAGCAAGGTGGGCACAGATGGTGCTCTGGGAAATAACATCCCTTTGGGAAGAACTTTGTAAATCATAGAATCACAAAATCTTTAAGGTTGGAAAATACCTCTAGGATCACTCAGTCCAGCTGTCTGCCTACCACCAATACTGCCCACTAACCACGTCCCTCAGTGTCACATCTACGTGTTTCAACTCCTCTCCATCTGTGCTCTTGTCCTCTTTGCACCCCTGCCCTGCCCCAGAAGTCCTGATGTTTGAGACGGAGGACCTGGTGCTGAGGAAGAACGAGAAGAACTTTGTGCTGTGCCTGCTAGAGCTGGCACGCCGTGCTGCCCGTTTTGGCATGTGTGCCCCCACCTTGGTGCAGATGGAAGAGGAGATCGAGGAGGAGCTCCGCCAGGAGATGGACCTGCCTCCTGCAGGGGACCCCCTGCCCCGTCCCCACAGGAAGCCCCAGGACCTCCACAACCTTGACCAGATGGTATGGGGGTGGGAATGGGGATTGGGATGGGGGGATGGGGTTGGAGATGATGAAGAGGTGGTGATGGGGTTGATGGAGACAGTGGGGGTTGGGGTTAGGATGATGGGAATGGGGATGATCAAGATGTGGATTTTGGGGAGATGGGAATGGGGATATAGTGAGGAAGATGGTGATGGAAATTTGGGGATGGGGATGATGGGGATGATGGGGATGGCCACCTTTATAATCAGTGAATATACAGATGTTGTAATTGTGAAATAAACAAGAGAGTTTGGCTAAGCAGGTTATTATACCAAAAAGAGAATGGATAGAGTGCTTATCCTTGTCCTGGGCTCACTGCAAAACTCCAAAGGAGGGATCTCCAGAAAGAGATCCTTCCCCACTGGTAGTCAGCTCTTAAATGGGTCTAGGAGAGGTGCAGCCAGGCTTCACCCCTTCCAGCAGCACAGCTGAATTGCCTTCACCTGTGCTCCCAGGGCTGACTCGTTGCTCACCTCAGGTGCTCAGTCAGAGGTTCAGGCTGTGATGCAGCAGTTCCCATACACCACCCCAGGCCCCTTCCCACGAGCCTTGGTGCAAACCCATCCCTACTGCCTGCAGGTCCAGCACCTGGTGAGCCGCTGTACCTGTCCTGTCCAGTTCCCCATGATCAAAGTGTCAGAAGGGAAATACCGTGTGGGTGACTCTGACACCCTCATCTTCGTTCGGGTGAGTCTGCTGCATCTCATGCACGCAGGGCACAGGCACAGGAGTTTTACTTTGCTCCCATCAAGCTTCTTCCCTATATTCATCTGCCAAATGGGGCCAACGTGGGCTTTTTGAGCATTACCCAATGAAGTATGGGATCAGTGAAAGGGGGGGTTCCCACAGGGCCATCCTGACTCTCCCTGGGGTGACAAAACAAGCAGTGGGATCTGAGACCCCCGTGCCTCGGTGGTGTGGGGTGAAGCAGGGCTGACGCTGCGTGTGTTTGAGTGCAGATCCTGAGGCAGCACGTCATGGTGCGGGTTGGAGGTGGCTGGGACACTCTGGAGCACTACTTGGACAAACACGACCCGTGCCGCTGCACCTCGCTCTGTGAGTGCCTGCACCCCCAGCCCTGGCTGTGTGATGGTGGAAGGGGAGAAGGATGCATTGTCTCTGCTTTTGGGGGCTCTGTTGATTCTTTCGGGGCATTTGTTGGTTCCTTTTGGGGTTTTGTCGGTGCTCTTGGGGGGGGTGCTTGTTGGTGCTTTTTGGGGTGTCACTGCTTTTGGGGTGTTTGCAAGGGCAGGACATCTAATCCTGATGCTTCACTGAGTAATCTCTGCTTTAGGTGAATGGCTCTTGTTGGGTGGTTCTGGTGGCCGCTAGAGGTCAGAGCAGACTTTTGGGAGGAGAGGGACCGTTGCAAGGCCAAAATCCCTTTTGCATGGAGCTCAGCTCTGCAGGAGCGCTTCACGCTAACCAACACAGGGAGGAAGGCTCTGGGCTCCGTGGGACTGCGGTCTGCAATAGGGAGGGTCCCCACTGAGCTCTGTCCTTCCCCGCAGCCCACAAACAGCTCTCCAGGACCAGACCCTCCCAGCAGCCGGTGCAGCACGAGGTGCAGCTCTGTGCAGCCCCTCCAGACCCCGGCCACACTCACCCCACTCTGCTGGTCAGTCGCTCACAGAGCCCACTGCCCCCCGTCACCTGGGCACCCCACAGCCACCGCCACCACCCCTGGACCCCCGCCACCACCCCCAGCCCCCGCCAGGAGCCAGCACAGCCCCGGAGGGTCCCTTCGTGCAGGTGAGGCACTGAGTGGCTTTGTACCGCTAAATTGCCTCTTTTTTGTAGTGCTTTTTTTCCTCCCATCTCTGTACCTGGTGTGGGGTTGGATGTGAGGTCTCTCTCCTCTCCGGGCTCTCTCTGATTGCAGGACACCAACACTGAGGTCACCTGCTCGAACCATCTCCCCTGGGCATGGGGCTGCACAGCGGGCACCCACCCCATCCCAGGACACTGTGGGGACTCCCAAGAAGCCACATGGGAACCGCCCAAAGTCAGCAGCACAGAGCAGGGGCACAGCCCCCAGTGCCCACCTGGCACCACCACGTCCCAAAAGCACTCAGCAAGGAGGTGGCTCATCTGGAGCAGCTTCCAGGCATGTAGGGGTCCCCACCACTGTGACACCCCGAGCCCACAGCCCCATCAAAACTGGTGCCCCCAGGCTGCAGCAGGATGCCCACAGAGCAGTGCAGAGCAGGAAAAGCCCCAAGGAAGGGAACCAGAGAGCCCTTGGACGTAGCCATCCGTCTTCACACCCAAATTCCCCGAGTCAACCTCCAAAGCAGGACAGCAACATTAAAACTCAGAAGAAAACCAGCTCAGCCATTTGCCGGCCCCCCACCCCTCTGACCCATTTTGCAAATGGATGTGAGAGCTGTGCTGCTGGGGAGAGTCCTCAGTGTCCCCCCCTGAGCCCAATGCCCAGGGACACTGAGAGCCCCGCGGTGCCAGGGAGGGTCTGCAGCCACAACACGGAAGTTTCAGGGCTGCGGGGGTACTGGGGGCACTCTCAGCCCCCTGACTATGGGAAGGTGCTGGAGGAGCTCACCAGCAACCGGCAGCCCCTGCGTCCTGTGGGGATGGGCAACAGAGTGTCCTCAAAGCCCTCAACCACACAGTGTGCCAATATCCCAGCCGGGGGGTCCATGGAAGGGCCAGTTGTGGGGGACCAGACCCCGCAGAGCACTGTGCCCAAAGCCCGGCGGTGCCTCAAGAAACCCGAGCGTGTGCCCTCCATCTACAAGCTGAAGCTGCGGCCCAAGGTGCGTCCCCGGCGGGACCACCGGCCCGGGAAGGGTCCTTCACGCATCCCCACCCCGCTGGGGCAGCGCCTGCCCCGTACCCGTGGCCAGCATCGCCCCACAGCCCCCCCAAAGCCCCCACAGCCCAGGGATGCCAAGCCCTCATTGAGTGACAGCGGTGCGTGGCTCACTGAGGATGATGAGGAGGCGTGGGTCTGAGCCATGCCCGTTGGTTTGGGTCAGGGATGGACCTACCCACTGTCAGAGCTGCAATGCCAAGGTTGTGATGATGATCCCCTTATCTGGCATTCAACCAAGCCAACTACCCCACTCTTCAGTCTTCCCCATCTGCATAATGGAACCAACGATGCTCGTGCCTCACCCAAAGCCCCACCCAACCCCATGAGCTGCTCAGGGCAGGGGAACACATTTTTGGCCATTGGCAAACCTCTGTGTTGGCATTTCCATGGCTGGGGCTGTTCCAGCAAGGATGGAGCCCATAGAGTTGGTCACTGCCCCACCAAGGCAATGGCCATTGATGCTCATACAGTAGAGTTCTCCCAGAGCCTTCTGTACCAGTGGCTCTTCTGGGTGGGTGATGGAAGAAGACCCAGAGGGTTTGGGGGCTGTGGTGGAGCTGCAGGGTCCGGCGCTGTGAGCAAGGAGCAGCGAGGCAAGTACAGAACAAAGGGGACAGACCTGATTTTAATTGGGTTCCAAATAAAGGGGCGCAGGGTGGTGTGGATGCCTGGGGATCTCCAGTAAGAAGTCCATGGGGAAGAGAATGCCATGTCCAGGCACCACGATGCTCACCGAAGTGGGACGAGAGGAGGAGCATCCTCATCAGCGCTGCACCCAGCCCCATGTCACCACTTGGTCACCATGTATTGGGGCAGAAAATGGCATTTTCCTTCCTGCTTCCCTTGGGGACAGCTGGGGACATCCCCAGCCCCCAGGATGGGAGCGGGTTGTTTCTGCAGTAGGCATAGATCCAGGTAGGAAACCCACGGCGATGGCTGGCGAGTGGTAACACTTCATACTAAGGGTTTGTTTATGGGGAGGACAGTGGAGCTCCATTACTGCTGTGGATGGGGATGTCCTGGCCCCTGTTGGCTGCCAGCCCCCTGCCCATGTTTTTGGGGAGTGGGGTAATGCTGCCAAAGCGGTGAGAGTCATTATTACTGATACAACTTTTCTGTCTATAAAATACAATATAATATAACAATTATATTTATAACTTTTTTTTTTTTTTCTTCAAAATACTAAATAGATGCTATAAAAACCTGTAACTAATTGTGCTATAAACTGCAGGCTACAGGGTTGTAACAAACAATGTATTGGCTTGGTCACTGATATGTGTGTGTTGGAGCACTGTATAAATGCTTTATTAGTGGCATTTACCGAGGAGTTTCCTTCTCAAACCATTTGGAGGAGTAAAGCCAGTGAGAGGCTGAAATATAGGTCGTGTGCACTGACAAACCCCAAAGAGATGCACAGAGGGTTTGCTGTGGGGGTGATGGGAGCTGCTGCCTTCCTCGGCCACACTCATCCTCTCCCCCAGCTCTTGGCCATAGGCTCCCTCCTGCCATCTTTCCTGATTTTGGATTTTCTGTATTTTGTTTTGGGAGGCAAGGGGATGGGTTTTGGTTCCCAAGGTGGCTGCTAGGAGTGGGGACCAGTGGTGGGGACATGGGGACCAATGGCAGGGATAGAGTGGGGACTGATGGCAGAGATGCAGGGCTGCATTGAATGCCATGGATTGGAGCTCGGTGAGGAGGACTCTTAATAGAAAGTGTTACCAGGATAGCAGTGAAGCTCCTGGGAAGTAAAAGCTGTCAGTGGGAGGAGATGGTGGGTTTTGGTTGGTTCCTGCTTTAGTGTCCCCAGTCCACAGAGGGACAACCCACAGATTCCTGTGCCATTTGTGCCCCAGCAACCACTGTGCCAGGCTCCAGGACAGATGCAGATGACCTGACAGTGGGAGCAAGTCAAAAGATTAAAGAAAGAAAGAAAGAAAGAAAGAAAGAAAGAAAGAAAGAAAGAAAGAAAGAAAGAAAGAAAGAAAAGAAAAGAAAAAAGAGGCTCACTTTCCCATTAGGAGTGTGCATAGAATGAAGGAAAAAAAGGATGGAAATGCACCTCCAGCTCCCTATTGCTTCAGAGACTGCCTTTGCATGGGAACCATCTCCATTTGGATGGATGGATGGATGGATGGATGGATGGATGGATGGATGGATGGATGGATGCCACCTTCCCCTGGGGGAGGCCCTGCTGGGGCCAAATCCAGCCTGGATCTGTATTTGAGATGCTGAGCTGTGCCCAACATTCATGGCAGCAGCTTTGCCCCTGAAACCAAGGGTATGTCCGGCACAGCCTCTGTGGGGTTGGGGCATATGGGGAGAGGATGAGCTTGGAGGAAAGGAAGCTGGTAGGAGTGGAAAGAGCACTTTTGGGGAAGGAGAATCAAACTGGACTGCCCAGGATGGGCACAGAGCAGCAGGAGCCCATGGAGGCGATGCAGTGAGAAACCCTAAAGTGGGGACGTGAGGCCTGTGGGACAGCGTGGCTGCCCTCAAGCAGCTCTGTTGTGCAGAGAAGCAGAGCCCATTGGGACTCAATGGACAACTGTGGCATCTCCACCCTGCTCCAACCCAACAGTGGTCACTGCGTCCCCAAAAGTCATCGTAGGGAAGAGACAACTGAGGTGTCCCCAGTACGGCATCACCCCAATGGAAACAGGTGTCCTGTGGGGGCACAGTGGCACGGGGGGGGGGGAGGGCTCACATGATGGTGCATCGGTTCCTGCGCAGGGCCCCCTGGAAGCGAATGGTGGTGTGGACGTGCTTGCAGCGGGCGCAGCCCACACTCTTCAGGAGCTCACTGAAGAGCAGCAGGATGTGCCAGTTGTACTTGGCCGAGCACTCGATGTAGCCGCACTTCCACGTCTTCTTCACCAGGTTGGAGACGTTCCAGCGCGGGATCACCCGGCCCCGCTGCAGGTCCCGCTTGTTGCCCACGATGATGATGGGAGTCTCCGAGGTGCCGATGACCCTGGGATGGGTGGGAGGGCAGCACCACGCGGCCATGGACTGCTCCCATCCATCCCATCCGTCCCGAAGTGGCAGCAATAAAGCCACGTCCCGCCATCACCCTGTCCTCCATCATGGGCTGCCTCCTACCACGTCCCCTTGTCTCTCTTCTTGGCCACCCACCCAGGTATGAGCCACACTACCCCAAGCTGCTTTCTCAGCCCTGTCCACCTTTGAGTCCTTTTTGCTGTTGTATCACAGCTCTCCATCGTCCCATCCCTACAGCCCCACCAGCAGCACGCACCCGCCAGCAAATGGCCCCTACCTTGTTTCCAGGATCTGCTGGCGGATGGTTTTGATGTACTCGAAGCTGTCAAAGCAACAGATGTCATAGACCAGGATGTAGGCATGGACGCTCCGGAGCCCCCTGCAACACACGTCTGCCCACTCCTGCAAGGTGCAGAGGGGGATCAATCCTGGCGTGCCCCACAGGATGCCTGCATCACTTTGGGACCAGACATGTTTGCAGGAGGAAAGAAGTTTGTAGGATCCACCACTGGGCATTCTACATCTACGTGGGACTCCTGACCAAGAGTGTTGTGTTGTGCATTTCACACTTTCCATCCCCAAATCCCCACCCCCCATCTCACCTCTGCCCTGCCATGTCCCTGTGATTCCTTTTCATTAACCCAGGGGAAAGATAATGGGATTTGCCAGGCCGCAGGGTTAATTGAGTACGTGAGCATCATCTGCCATGTCAATCAATGACCCTCTGCTATTCTGGTCCATTTCCCACTGACCTTCCATTTCCTGCACATTATGTGTAATTTTTAAACCTCCCTGAGCCCCTCACCTCCTGCCCCATGGCTTTGGGGCAGCAGTGCAGGGACTTGTGACCCATCGTGATGTAATTATACCAATTAAAAATCCAACAGTTCAGCCCCAGCAGAGGTACAGCCTTCAAATCCCTTTTTTCCCATATTAACCTACAAGGATGGGTCAGTGTTGATGGCTGAGCTCAGGGCACCGCCAGGACAAATCCAGTGGCGAGGGCTGTGCTGGGATGGATCCGGGGTTAACCATGAGCCCAAGGGTTTGAGAGGAAAATGGACCTGATGGGCTGAGGGTTGGACTAGATGATCTTAGTGGACTTTTCCGACCTTAATGATTCTATGATTCTGTGAAAATGGCTCTCTCCCAAAGGGGATGTATGGCCAGGCTTAGAGGAACCATAGTTACGCACAGCGCAACCCTGACCCCATGGCAGCACTGGGCAATGGGTGCGTGGTGCGTTGGGTGCTGGACATCCACGTGTGTTGGTTCCATCAGCCCTTCACTCAGGGACAACAGACGGGACCCCATCCCTCAGCGTTGGCCATCATTTGGGGCTGAAAATTTACCAAAAAACCGACACTTTATCCCAACCTCAGCATGATCCTCAGCTTTTAGGAAGCGAACCCCAGGAGCAGGAGGCCCCACTCCGTGCCCCTACCTGCAGGGTGTTGACGGGGAAGGCGGGGATGGGCGGAAAATCCATGATCTGCAGGTCGTGCACGTGGCCGTTCATGACGACGGCGGGCAGGTAGACGCGGCGGGCCGTGGTGGGCACACAGACCTCGCTGAACTCGTTGTAGAGGAACTGCCGGACTATGGCACTCTTGCCCACACCCTGGGCTCCCAGCACGGCGATCTTGAAGGTTGCCACCATACCGCCGGCCGCCGGCCGCTGCCCCAGTGCTGCTCCCGCGGCGCCGACGCTGCATATTCCCGTGCAGGGGGGCTCAGCCCCATTCAGGATGCATTTCCCCGCCGGGACAGCACATCACTGCGGGGCCAAGGAGAAGGCTATCATGTCCCAAACCCCGTGACATGGGGACATTTCTGATGGGGACGGCCACCGGCTGCTCTATGCCCTGAGCTGGGGAATCCATCTCCCCGATTTGGACAGCTGGAATTGCCTTTTGCTGAAGGGGGGATTGCTCAGTGCCTGCTAGTGACAGCTTTAATGTTTAATTTCAGGCTTTGAGCGCTTCAGCAATTAACTTGATGGAGGCTAATTTCCCAGCCAGCTGACAGGGCGAGCTGCGGGCACACGTGGTGGGGGCCCCAAGGCAATGGTTTGGGCACAGGAATGCAGAAATGGGGTCAGAGGATTCCCAGCACCCACTGGCACTGAGGTCCCAAGCAGCTGCAATGGGAATAGCAATGTCAGTAGGATGGGTCCCACTGCATCTCCCATCCCTGGGAGCCACTCCTGCTGTATCCCAATGCATGGATGCTTTTCCCAGTTGGTGATGCTCTCTCTGCTTTCCCTAAAAAACATCCCCAAGGCACAGGGCATGGTCCCCGGGCTGTCAGAGGCTCCGGCAGCCCCATTTCACCCTGAGTGATGGTGATATTTGCCCCAGGGAGTGTGGCCATGGCCGTCCCCATTGCAGGGACCCAGCAGGGCCTGATGCAGCCCAGGGACAGGGACTCACCCTGCTGGGGCCTGGCTCTGACGGCAGAAAGCAGTGTCATGGCCAGGCCACCCTTCTGTCCCCATACCCCTTTCTCCACCCACTGGGGCCAGGGGTGGTGGAGTCCTGCAGCCCCATAGGATGCCAAGAGGACACGGGGTACCCCAAACTGCTGGGCAATGCCATGCCACCACCCCCAGCATCCCCTAAACCCCGTTCCCATCCCAGGTGGAGACACACAGAGGGATCGCTGCCCCGTGGGCCCTAGGGATGAGATTTCTCCCAAGGCACAGGTAGCTGCCCCGATGGCAGCAGCAGAATTTAGGACCACAAAAGGAAACTGAGGCCTGGACAGGGACATAGTGGGGACGGAGCTCAGCAGGGTGAGACCCCCGGTGCGGGGCAGGCTGCAGGGCATCGTGACCTTGTGCCCCCCCTCCCCAATTTGCTGCCCGTGGGGCCTCATCCCACTCCCCGCATCGATGCTCCGGGGCAGCACCGCATCCCTGCCCCCCCCAGACCGCGGAGGTCGGGGCCGACCTGAGGAAGGAGCACAACGCGGGGGTACCGAGGCGGGGGATGCGGGCACCGCGCAAATCCACCGCCTTGAAGGGAAAAGGGGGGGAGAGCGGCCGAGCTCCGCCGCTCAACTTCAGCCGGGTACCCCCTCGTTGAACTTCTCCCCTTCCCACCAGCACCGCTCCCGTCCCCTCCCCATCCCCGCTCCCCTCCGTTACCTCGCAGCAGCGGCGGTGCCCCGGGCCGGCGTTGTCCCGGCGGGCGGAGGAGCCATGCGGCGAACCCGGTGCGGGGCGGGCGGCCCCGCTGCAGTGAGTGCCCGGCACGGCCCCCGCCCGGCGAGGGGCTGCGGGGGAAGCGGGGCTGGAAGGAGGGAGGGAGGGAAGGATGGAGGGAGGTAGAGCCTCCTCTGGGGATGGAGCGCGGGGAGCGATGCGAGGAATGCCCGAGCGACGAGGAGGCGGCAGCGCCCGGAGATATGCGGGGAGGGAGGGAGGCAGCGCAGGGAGACGATGCGGGGAATGCCCGGAGCGCGCTGCGGGGAGCCGGGAAGGACGCGGCTTCTCCCGGGGCTCTGGGAGGTGCTGATGGGAAAAGACCCACCCATGTGCCCCCGGTGCGGCAGCGGCTCAGCCCTCCCCGCTCCCGTCTCCCCCATCCCACGCTTTAAGACCCCGGCTCGGCTCACCCCGCGGCTCCCGGGCGCATCGCATCCCCCCGGGGACGGACGTCTCCATCGCAGAGCTTTGGGACACCCCGCAACGAGCATTTATCGATGGCGAGGGAGAGGATGGCTGCATCTCCGGGAAGCGGGGTCGGAGCCACACACCTCAAAGCAGAACCCGAACCTCTCTCCGCTCTTCACGGAGCGCTGGGACATCCCCGAGGGTCTGGCTGTCACCCCGCGGGTCGGCAGAGCTCGAACACCGACGGTGCCGTGGCCAGGGCCCCCCCCAGCCCCGCTGACACCTCTGGTTGGGAAAGCATCAGATGGGGTGAGCTTGGTATAAATGAAAGCACTCGGCCATCGCAGCCCCCCTCCTTCCCAGGGAGAAAACGGGATACCGGCCACAGCCCTACAGCTGGAAGCACAGGGACGGCCTTTGTGATGAGCCCAGCGCATCCCCCATTGCCCCCAAGCTTTTTAGGATTCGGGGTTTGTTTCCCCGATGCTCGCAGCCGGGGAAACACTCAGTGTCTCTGCAGGCGCTGCCCACCTCCCACCCACCACCCCCGGGCATCGCTTCCCGGCACCGCAAAGAGCGCTGCTGGGAAGGGGCCGGGATCGCGGCTGCGATGAACTCGCCCGCACAATCCAGGCTTCAGCCTCGGGGATATTTTTAGCAGTTCCCTCCGCGGCGCTCTTCACTCGTGGTTTTATTTGTGAAATTTAATATACGGTGGCCTTTGGGGGGGGTTGGGAGGAGGGAAGTAAGGTTGGCCCTGCATCTATCCCCGGCCCGGCTGCAGGGATGGATGCAGACCCAAAATCAGCCATCAAAGGGCACAGTGGGGTCGGGCTCATCTTCAGCTGCAGCACCCACCCTATGGCCCTGCAGCAGCTCTGAGCCCGAAGCCACCCATGTCACCGTGATCCCAGTGTCACAGGCTAACAGGAGCAGTGAACAAACCCAGTTTGCAAGGACCAGCACGGGCCAGGGTTGGTGCGTCCCCATTTATGGGCACGAGCCTGCCTGCAAATCCAGAGCAGCTGGAAAGACCGATTTCTCCCCAGGGAGCCCCCAGCAGAGCCACGGGGAGGGATGAACCCTTCCCTCTGCTGTAGGATGCAATGGGATGGGGCAGCTCTGGACATCTCACAGCCACTTCAGGTCTTGTTGGACAAATGGGAACTGCTGACCCAGAGCTGGGCAGAGGAGAAGCACAGAGCAGCACTCCTCCTGCTCCTTGAGGTCATTCCTGATCCTTCCAACCTGGCCACCTGGGGCTGGCTGCAAGCACTGTGGGTTGGCAACCCACTCTGGCCCAAGACAAAGCCCTCTGCAAGATGCCAGCACGGGTTAAGAGCACTCCAGTGATGCATGTGGGAAAAGCAGGTCAGGGCACACACAGCCCCTCGGGGAGGGTGAGATGGGGACATCCATCCTCCTCTCATCCTCCACTAGGCCACTGTCACACAGACAGTGGAGGATCAGCCCCAGGGATGCTTGGTCCATACTCTGCACAAGCCCCAGGAACAGCCTCAGAGACCTCTGCTGTAGAAAAGAACTGGTTGGTGCAGGACAAGGGGCTCCCAAGGAGCACCCACAGCCCAATCACCACCAACCCGAGCAGCCCCCATCCCCACAGCCACAGCACAGCCACAGCCTTGTGGAAATGAGTTTATTGACACGGACACCAGGTAAAGCCTGAAGAGCAACACAGCTACTTGGTGAGCAAAGCAACTGAGGGGCACAGCAGGAGGAGGGCTCAGAAATGCAGGGACACCCATGTGCCCGAAACGCTGGGAAGAAACATGGTACAGGAAGGGGTGCTGAGCATCCCCTCCCACGTCGAAGCTCCTCCAGCTGTGTGGTGTAAGGCTGAGCTCATTCCTCACCCTCTGCTGTCTTCTCCCTGCCCCAGCACTCAGTGCCACCGGTGCTTTGTTAATTGCTCTAATAATGATTCCCGCAGTGGCCCTGCAGGGCTTGGAGCAATCACCTCCCAGCACACACAGGCACTGTGTTACTCCAGCTCTGCCCCACTTTTTCCCCAACCAGAACGCAGGGACAGAGCCTTCCATGCCCTGCCAGGTGCTCCTCCTCTCTGCACTGAGGCTCAGGTTGGGGGGAGATAAATGAGGCTTTTTGACCTCTTCCCAGCATTGGACTCTTGGCTGCAGGTGATGCCCGAGCCCTGATGAACCATCTTCCACCATAAAACATTTACTGACCTTGAACATGGCATCTAAATGACAACATGGGGGCTGCTATGCGTCAGAGCTTTGCTTGCTGGGGAGGAGATGGCATCAAAGCATGCTGGGGAGGGCAGATCTGCCCTGGTTATAGGCTTTGCTGAATGAAGCAGGACAAGCGATGAATGGAGCAAGGCATGCACAAGGCTTTGCATTCACTGCTGGGGCTGCAGCACTCACTGGCTGCAATGTGGTGAGTGCACAGCTGTGAATGGGAAAGGGAAGGGTTCCCAGCCCAAAGGGTGGCTGGGAGAAGAGAGGCCAGGGGCTGCAGGCAGGGACTGAGAGACCCTCAGTGCCACGTGCCTTGGGGCTGCTAAGAGAAGAAATGCTTTTGAGGTGTGCTCAGCTCAGCAAGTGCAAGCATGGCTAAGCCCAAATTGGTCTGTTATGCCACCATGGGAATGGAGAAAACCACCTGGCCCCAATGCACAGCCTTAGGATACTGCCAGGGCCCACGGACATCAGATGCCTGCAGCCCCTGCTGGGATGCACAGCACTGGGTGCAGGAGCACAGCTCAAGGGCTGGGCGAAAGGCAGAGAGAGGAAGAGGAGGAGCTGCAGATGGTGAGGGCACAGAGAACACAGCCTGTGCTTTTGCTCCAGTAGTGAGCTCGTTCTCCTCATTTTGTCCTCCACTGCCCATTACCCATCTGTCCACAGCCCCTCCCCAGGCACGAGGAGTCTCCTTCCTTAGATCAGCAGCTCACAGGGCAGGGAGATGATGGATGGAGTTAAACACCACAGGGAGCAGAGCTGAGGCCGCCAGCACAACCCAATAAAAACCCCTCGCTGCATTTAGGGCCACTCTGCCCCACAGGTGCAGCACATGGCTCTGTTCCTCAGTCAGCCCACAGCCATCCCTGAAGGGTGCCCACCACTTCCACAGATTCACTGTCCCTTTAAAGCCAATTACAGATAAGAAAAAAAACAAAAAATGTATAAAAATATAAAATAAAGTGCAGTGTATGTTTTCGACCATTTTGCCTTGTTTTAATAAGCTGTGGGTTGGGTTTTTCTATGTTTTTTTTTTTCTTTCTTTTCCAGTGAGCAGTATTTTACAAAATCAGAA